AAAAACAAACCTAATAAATAATAATCTAATATTTTTAAGATTTTATAATATATTTATATTACTTGTTGAATTAAATATCTGCCTTTGATTATTTTTTTATGAATAACTTTTCATTCTTAATAATTGATAAAAATATTTCTAACATTAATTAATTATATAAGTATAAGTAAGCATTATATGATTAAAAATTGATCTAATTTGATTTGATCAATAATTTAGAAAGTCAACTGGATAATAATAGAATATTTTAGATTGAAATATTATTGTGATTTGCATTATAAATTAATGATATTTAAGTTTAAAGATAAATAATTAATTATTATTATTATTTTAATTTTTTAAGATATAAATGGAATTCTTTAAGTGTAAATACTTAAATCATGAAAATGAAGAAATAATGGGATTTTGTTTGAATCAGAATTGTTAAAATGCAACATAATATTGTTATGAATGTTTAACTACGACTCATTCAGATCATTTAAATGATTGCATTCGATTCTTTAAAATGAACTAATAAATAAATGAATTAATACAAGTTTAAAATCAATAAAGTAAATAATACAAAGAAATATCTAAATAATTTTAGTATTATTTTGAATAGATATTTAAAATAATGGAACAAGATAATACAATATTTGATCAGATGAAACAACAACTATAAAACAAAGACTATTTGACTTTTAAGTCATAAATAAATATAATCAAAAGGTATTACTCAAAGGAAAAAGAAAATTAAATATGTATATATTAAATAATTATAATAGAAAAACAAATAATATAATTAAATAATATTCTTGAGACATTAAAAAATATGGTAATAGAGTTAACTAAAAATGGCGATTATATTATTAATGGTGATGAAAATCAAATTAAAATTTAACAAATTATTGTTGAAAGTGAAGATAAAAAGTAATAGAACATTAAAGAAGCTGAAAGATTATTAAATGAAGGTATGACGAATTGAATTATAAATTAGGAGTTGCATTATTTAATTTGAATAAATATTAAGATGCCATTGAATGTTATGACAAAGCTATTTCCATTAATCCTAAAAATGATATTGCGTGGAATAATAAAGGTATAGTATAATTATTAAGCATTATTATTTAGGATAAGCATTATTTAATTTGAATAAATATTAAGATGCCATTGAATGTTATGACAAAGCTATTTCCATTAATCCTAAAAATGATATTGCGTGGAATAATAAAGGTATAGTATAATTATTAAGCATTATTATTTAGGATAAGCATTATTTAATTTGAATAAATATTAAGATGCCATTGAATGTTATGACAAAGCTATTTCCATTAATCCTAAAAATGATATTGCGTGGAATAATAAAGGTATAGTATAATTATTAAGCATTATTATTTAGGATAAGCATTATTTAATTTGAATAAATATTAAGATGCCATTGAATGTTATGACAAAGCTATTTCCATTAATCCTAAAAATGATATTGCGTGGAATAATAAAGGTATAGTATAATTATTAAGCATTATTATTTAGGATAAGCATTATTTAATTTGAATAAATATTAAGATGCCATTGAATGTTATGACAAAGCTATTTCCATTAATCCTAAAAATGATATTGCGTGGAATAATAAAGGTATAGTATAATTATTAAGCATTATTATTTAGGATAAGCATTATTTAATTTGAATAAATATTAAGATGCCATTGAATGTTATGACAAAGCTATTTCCATTAATCCTAAAAATGATATTGCGTGGAATAATAAAGGTATAGTATAATTATTAAGCATTATTATTTAGGATAAGCATTATATAATTTGAATAAATATTAAGATGCCATTGAATGTTATGACAAAGCTATTTCCATTAATCCTAAAAATGATATTGCGTTGAGTAATAAAGGTATTTTATATTATAATTCAGGTTTTGCACTACATAAATTATAGAAATATACTGATGCAATTTCATGTTATGATTAAGCTCCTTCTATTAACATTAATCCTCAAAGATTAAAACTAAAAGGTAAATCAAACTTTAATTGATATTTAGCTGATTCACTACTTGAATTAGGGAAGAAATCAGAAGCTAAACAATTTTATTTGGCTTCATTAGAAAAAGGATCTAATGATAAGATTTATATTTAGAAATAACTATCAAAGTTATGAAGTAATATCATATTTAAAAAATATAATCTAATAAGATCAAACATTTAATACTGCACCAAATTATTAACTTTTCATTTTCAGCAATTTTATAAATTAAATTTAAATCATTTAAATAATATTAATTTCAGATACCGTCTTTAAATTTTTAGTTTAGATTATTAATTTTCTTTTCTTTAAATTAATTCAATGTAAATTTTGGATTTTTAAGATTTTTATTCTTACTTACTTAATCTATTGATCCTTTCTATTCTAGGATTAGGTTTCCGTATAATAAATTTTAATTATATACTCCTCTATTATCTTAATTTTTCTCCTTGGAGTGCTCATTAATAACAGATTCATCCTTAAAATCTTTCCGGAAATTCTAAATTTTTGTTGCCCTTCACTTTAAATTTATGCCGTCTAAAGTATGAATTTTAGTTAGAATGTTAATAAAACTAAAAAGGAAAATTTTTACTGTAAAAAAGTTTAATTAGTATCAAGCCCTAAGGAAAACTTGACAAACATGTTCTTGATTTTACTTCACAAAAAGAAATCAAATAGCTAGGATGATTTATGGGAGGGAATAAAATCTGACTAGTTATCCAATAAATATAAAAAGCATTTAGAAAATGAGTTTCAAATATAGATGTCAGAAATGGTAGATTGATACTGCATCAATTCTTTGAATTGATATCTTTTTGATATAGTTAAATATATTTACATTTAACTTAAAATCAAGCTTAGTGAAGCAATATTAATTGCTTGTGATTTAAACCCTTTTATCTAAAAGAGAGGGAGATTTATAAATATTGAACTTAAGTAAATGATAGGAACACCTATTTCTTAAATACACTCAAAAAACTATAAGAACCTAGAAATTTAATTATTAAATAAGGTTTAATGCTTCTAAAACTGGAGCCTTTCAAAGGCTAGATGAATTAAAAAAAATTTAATCTATAATTAATAGATCTTAAATTAAAGTCGATAATATTATCATTAATTAGATAAATTCAGTAATTAGTTATAAGAAAACTATTAATAAATTTCATCACCAATAATCAGAAACAGATTACATGAATTAATCTAAGAACTCTAAAACTCAGGCAGGTTTGCCTATATATATAATCTGAGTATTCCCAAGCTAAAATAAAACATTTTTTAAACCAACCCAATACTCTACAACAAAAAGAAATGTCCATCTCTTGAGATGGAATGAAAACTTATAATTAATAAGCCTATAGAGAGAGAACTAGCTAAAAGAGGCATAAAAAATAGTTTTAAGCATAGCTAAATATTAAGGTAAATTTGAGAGTTAGGGTAAATAATTAAAATAAATCAGAAAACTCTTGAAGATCTATTAATGTATAACTTTTAACCTATGTTGTAATAAGCTAAATTCTTTGATGGAATTATGAAAAATAGAAGAATCATAATTACTGTTATAAACTTGTTTGATAAAATAACAAAATAAACTTTCTCTGGAAAATTTTTTAGTTTACACCGTAATTACATATGAAGGATAAAAAGGCTTTTGCTATTGATTTGCAAAAAAAATTAAAGAGAGTCTTCAGTTGGTTGATGGGGAATGGTTGTTTTTTCCTATACATATCTAATTCGTTTTGAAAAAATAGTTGGATGTGCTAACTAAATGAATTCTTGCCTCAAATTGCATTTTTCTACTAAAGGATAGAGTAAGATAGAAAAGTAGCTTATAAATGTTTAGAAAAGTGGGAAGGAGTAAATATTTATATAAGAAACTTTTCGAGGCCATTTAAGATGGTATTGTTTTGATTAAATTTTTTGATACCTGCTGTTTCTTTATAAATGAACCTGAAGTAGTTTAAATCAAAATGAAAGGCATTTGAAAACTTGAATCTGGTTCCAATTAAGTCAAAACTAAGAATACAAATGTTTATCATAAAAAGTTAATTAATTCAATACTATAACGAAAAATTATAATTTATTTATCATTTTGACTTCCAAAAATTTAAGCTTGTGATTCTAAGGAATTAATTATCTTCATGCCTATTTATTTTAAATTTATGATATCTCAGACATTCAAAATTAAATAAAATGGGATTTAAGTTTGAAGCATAGTGTTATTAAAAAGAATGTTGGTTGAATGTATTTAGGCTAATTAATTAAATATTCTATAAATAAATTTACCCTAACATCTACATACAATTTGGCTTGAAATTTTATTTTTATATAAATTATAAATGATTAAATAAATTATCATTTGATATTTTAAAGACCAAATATAAATAATTAGTAGCTACATAATATTAACTCATACTCATAATAGATTTGATGTCACATAGGAATATTTTAGAGAGACTTACATAGATTTAATTAATTTTTTAATAGAGAAAAATCAGCCAAAATTTTCTCAAAAACAATTCACAAGGCTTTTCTTGATTAAAGTTAATGAAATGTATCAATAAAAGCCTTTTTTAAAGTAAAATAATTATATTTTATAAATATGAACCTTATTACATAATAGAAATGTCAGAATGTTGCAGGTAGATTCTTTAATAAACTCTTTATGTTTTTGATTATGTTTTGAATCATTCACTTTAATGGTAAGTCGTCCATTATTTTTTTCAATTAACAAATTATAAAACAATTTTCAAAATGTTCCTAATGCTAATTTTGTTATTTAGAATAGATTCATTAGGAAGGAAAATTCATAATAAAAGCCTTTTTTTAACTCTTGCATATTACACCTTTAACACAATTCTAATTAAATTTTCTAAATTAATTAAAGCAGGGATTTTATATCATTTAACTTATTCTTTAAGGTATGTTAGGAAGTATTTTGAAATAGCTTTAAACAGGCAAATGATTAAGTAGTTTTGAAATTTGAATCTACCTTTCCTGTTTAATATCAAATTGTAGAAGGGTTTTGTCATTCCTATAAAACCAATGTAAGGATAATAACTTTCACTCTGTCAAACTAATAATTAAAGTTTATAAAATTAAAAAAGCCTAATAAAAAACTAGATCTGTTTCAATCAGAATGATGACAACATCATAAAAATCAAATAAAAGCTATACCTCATGTACAAGTCCAGAGCAACTCCTTATCATATGTTTTTTTTTCAGGAGTAGCCAATAATAATAAATGTTCCCCTTGTTCAAGTAACTATAATTATGAAAAATTTAAAGGATGAATAACTTATTGTAAATTTTTGATTTTTCAATATTAAAATGAATTTTTTTTTGAATTTGAAAGAAACATTCCTAGTTTATTTTAAATTGTATAGAATAATGATTCTATATTATAATTCCAAATTTGTTAATTTTAAAATATGATCCACTCATCACCAAAATATATTAATACAAATCGTTATGTATATGGCACTTTTTAATATAATACTGGAATATCCAAACTTATAAATAAAATAAGCACATCTAAAATATCTATTGATATGGGATTGGAATAATATAATATCGGGAGAGGAAGAAGATTGATGATTATAGGAATAAATGAATTTAATGATTCTAATAAATAGAATTTCTATCAATCCACAATAGTTTTATTTATAGCTATATATGGGATCTAAGCATATGGTATTAAAATTAATTCTTAAAATAAATACTCTTACTTTTATTATTATGATCTCTTTATTTTTTTGATATTCCCTAATATTATTCTACTTTTCAGCTATTGGAACATTAACATAATATTATTAGTTATCTTAAGGTTTCAACAGTAGAATGGGGATTATTATCCCTAATGACACATATGTGAACTATAATGCAAATGTAATTATTTAGTATAGGATATAATTGTAAAAAATGTAAAACTAAATATTATGTGGGTAAGTATGATATAGTTCAATAGTTAATAGTAAATTTTCATATAAGATTAATTCTTATGGTTTTTCTTACAATTAGAAATAAGTTGGAGATTATTTTTATAATTTGGAAGATGAAATACTTTATAATTAATATTAATTGGCAAATAAATGAGAAATTTTTCCATAAAAATTACACACGAATCCTAATTTTTCGAGATATCATCTATTTTGTAAAATTTATTCACGACCATTTATATGTCTAGAATGTTAGAATGTTATAAATATTAAGAAAGCTGGTTCTACATGCAAATTTTGTATAAAAATATTCTATTATTCCCTTATAAAAAATACACAAAAAGATTCTAATAGATGTCCTGTGTATTTTTGGTTCATTATAAAATTTCAATAATTGGAAAATTGGAAAATTGGCTTGTGATTCTACTGAGAGAATTGAAATCTGAGTACGAAAAAGGATATTATGAAGACAATAATAACTTTTATAGTTAATATAGTAGTGTTAATTTTAGATTCTCTTTCTGTTAATGCTATGATCAATTAAATAACAATTATAAAAATATGGCATACTATTATTTGTAGTTTTTGTGATTCTAGTTAATTATTAATATAAAGGAATTGCTAACCTAAATTTGAACTTAGATATAACTATATAAAGAATGTGAAGATGGTAATAATACTTTAAATGATTTATGCAAACCTTGCCAATTTCAAAGTCTAAACGTTCTTAGATTTAAAATTAACCTTCTACTTTACTTTGTCCAAATGCTTGTTTGAATATCACATTTTCAGTTGATGAAGAATGTGAAGATCTAATGATGAACAATACTAAATGCATATTATCAGATTGTGTTTTGAATGCTAAACTCTTGGATTACATACTGAAACTGATGAAATAATTGATATCTGGACATTTAAAAAATAATAGGGATATGTAATATTATTGAATAATCATAAATTAATTTATATTAAAGTTTAAATAGTATATAACATTTATGTATAAATTTATGTAATACTGAAAGCATAGCATTTATATTGAAAATTTAACAATTACAAACAACAATTTAAATACTTTAATAATGATATTATTGTAGATAATTTTTTAGAAGGTTGTTCATCTTGTAATTATTCTCTTCTCTATTATCAACTTCTATATTATTATTTTAAGTGAATTCATATCAATTTATAGTATATGTTTTACTAATATAGCAAATATATTTGTGTAGATAGATTAATTTTTTATGATCTTTATGAATATTATTCAGATTATTTTGATGAGGGCAATACTAATAATAGCCATGTGTGTAATATTTCAATTTCCAGTTGTACTAATGGATATAGCTTATCTAATTATAAAATATGAAACATATTATCTTATAGAAAAGCCAAAATCGTTCAGCAAGGTGCTAAAGCCTTTGAATCAAAATGTCTATACTATATGTTGTACATTTAGTTAAACAGCTGAAAAGGCTTATTTATTATGTATATATGATGAAGAAATGTATAATCTGGCACAAGACTATGAAGGGAACCTAATGGAGTAATTTGTGCTCAGAAATCCTAATTTTATCGAAAAACATGAACAATCACAAAAACAGATAGATTCACTAAATAAAA